TTTTTGTTATTTTTTTTTTTTTTTTTTTTGAGACAGGGTTTCTCTGTGTAACAGCCCTCACTGTCCTGGAACCAGGCTGGCCTCTAAGTCACAGAGATCTACCTACCTCTGCCTCCTGAGTGCTGGGATTAAAGGTATGCGCTGCCAGGCCTGGCTGCTTTTCTTTCAGTCTTTCTTTTCTTTTTGAATAGTTTCATGTTTTAACCTATTTATGGTTTTGAGATTACAACATAATTACAACATTTCTCCCTCCTTTTTCTTCCCTCCAAACCCTTCCTTATACCCCTTCTTGTTCTCTTTCAAATTCATGGTCTCTTTTCTCACTCATTAAGTGTTATTACATGCATATATGATGTATATATCTGCTCCTAAATACAGCCTGCACAGTCTGTATGGTGTTGTCAGGGCTGAGCATGTGGTGTTGGATGACCAATGGCTGTGCTCTTCCCTGGGAAGACTGTTTCTCCCACTCTCAGTGCTCCTCAGTTGACTGTAGTTCCTCATGTAGGCTTCAGGACGTGTGGACTTTCCCCATCCATGTTGGCGGGTCCATTGGTGTCATCCTTATTCAGCTCTTATTTGGGGGGCATGGTGAAATTTTGTGGATGTAGCTCTGATATGACTAGCAGGCATAATCTCACAGCAAATTTCCTTTTCTTGCTTCTCATTACAGTGTTTTCAATAACACAATCATAGTTTACTTTATTCTACAATATGTAAAATATACTTCCAAAGATAGTACCAATTGTTCTAGTTCCTTTTCTTTTTTGCAGTAAAACACCCAGACATAGAGATATTTTTAGGAGGAAAGAGTTCATTTTATATGTGTGGTAATTAACATCAATTAGGTATGCTTCTTTTTTAAAAAAACTAGAATTTGATTTCTTTTAGACTTAGTTTTTTTTCAGTTTAATTTTCTGTATTGTTGCTTATTGTGGGGGTGGGATACTTGTGTTACAGTGCGTGTATGGCAGTCAAAAGTCAATTTTTTGAGTCTGTTACCTCCTTCCACTATGGACTATGGGATCCTTTATTATTTTGTAATTAGTAATCACTGGAGTATGTAAAATACTTTTTCAAAACATGTCATTTTGGGGTTGGAGAGATGGCTCAGTGGTTGAGAGCATTGCCTGGCCTTCCAAAGGTCCTGAGTTCAATTCCCAGCAACCACATGGTGGCTCACAACCATCTGTAATAACGTCTGGTGCCCTCTTCTGGCCTGCAGGCATACACACAGATAGAATATTGTATACATAACGAATAAATAAATATTTTAAAAAAACATGTCATTTTATCTCTTTTTCTTAGGAGTCCACATGTCAAACAATTAAACCTTCTGCAAAGCGTGTATACGATGTTCCGGAAGGATGAGCTGCCTTCCAATGTCACTCGCCAAGCATTTGTAGATCGCTCTCTCCTCACCGTGCTGTGGCATTGTGACTTGGACACACTGAAAGAGTTCTTCAGCAGAATTGTGGTGGATGCCATTGATGTGTTGAAGTCCAGATTTACAAAGGTATATCGTACACAGTAGTAAAGAGATTGGGTAGCATGTGCTCAGTCAGATGTATTTGGAGCATTCCCTCTGCATCCAATAGCAAGCTGTGGCCACATGGATCCATACTACTTTCCTCTAACAACTGACTGGCCCCACAGTGCTTAGAATAACAGGTATACTGTGTGTCTGCATGCCCAAGTCTGTGTTCAGTTACACCAGGCCAAGGTTGTGTCTGCAGGCCATGTTGGCTCTTCTCAGGTGCTTTCATAGAAAAGGCTTTCCGTGTCTTCATGCCTCCCATGGCTTTGACATGCGGTCTGTTTCTCTCTCTGCCTCCCTCATCACGCTGCCCTTCCTTGTCTAATCTCTGTCTACCTCACTTGCATGTAACTTGATATCCCAGCTAGTAAATCCAATCTAACCACTCTTCTCAGTGTCTTCAATTTAATAATGACTGTAGAGTCCCTTTATGTCATATGAAAAGTTAGGTTCCAGGGATTGGGCATTATCTCGACAGTTTTAATAAAGTAAAGTGAGGGTATAATTCAGCCCTTCTCAGATTCCTTTTGGTAAATACAGATCACCAAATGGCTAATAAATAAAAACATCAAAAATATATAAAAATGTATATGTTGTGTTTTGCATTTTCACCTACTGTTTCTATGGCTTCAGTAAGACTTGACAAATATTGTATATTTTGGACTTACTATGTGTACATTTTGTATTACTTCCTGTTTTACCCCGTATGACATAGCAATGTTGTTTCCACATTGGAAACCCTGGACAAACAGACCACTGTCTTCTACCTGAATGCATTAAGAATTAAATTTGATGTTTAAGCATGTTGTTTTTATGTTTGATAAGACCAAAGATGTTACATCTTTTCAGGTAAATGAATTTACCTTTGACACTCAAATCACCAAGAAGATGTGCTATTACAAGATACTAGCCGTGATGTATTCTCGTCTTTCAAAAGATGATGTTCACTCTAAAGAATCTAAAATTAATCAAGCTTTCCACGGTTCCTGCATTGCAGAAGGAAATGAACTTACAAAGATACTTCTTAAGTAAGCTTGCTTCATTTGTGGTTGTGTTTAATTTGTTAATATTTAGAGTAATTACACATTTTTGTTTTTACTTTTATAGATTATTTTTTTGGTTTTGGCTTTGGTTTTGGTCTGTGTATGTATGTGCACCAGTGTGTGTGCCTGGTATCTGTGGCGAACAAAAGAAGGCATCAGATTCCCTAGAAGTATAGTTACAGAGGTGTGAGTTCCATGTGGGTTCTGAGAGCAAAGAGTGTTCGTAACTGCTGAGCTATCTCTCCAACCCTTGGGGTACATGTATTTTAAATGCATTGATATAATGTGATTTAAATGTCTTAGATAAGCAAAGTGCTTTCTTTTCTTCTTCATAAAGTACTTGTATGAACTTAATTATGTTGTTGGGCAGCAGGTACTTACATTTCGTTAAATGTGTTTGTGTCTGTGAGACTGTGTGCCATGTTTGTGTGGGCACCTTTCAAGGCCTGAAGATGTCAGATTCCCCAGAAATGGAGTTACAAGCTGTAGCGAGCTGCGTGGTGTCACACCTAATGGAGATGTATAATCAACTCCTGAGATGGCCTGACCTATGCTATGATCACGCAACGATTATCAGCTGCGTGCATATGCGTGAACCTATGGGCAGTGCCCACCTGGCAGTTCGGGGTTGGCAGCCCATGCCTACTTAAGGACTGGGAGAGGTTTGCCCGGAGAGAGAGGGGAGAGGGGGGGGGGGGGGGGGGGTGGAGGACGTTGCAGGAGATAGGGGAACGGGGGCGGAAGGGTCAGAGGTAGAAGCATAAAGCCTGAAGGAGA